CCAAAGTGCAAAAATAATTACAATTACAATATAGCAAAATTATAATTACAGATTATTTTTCTCCTTATCATAAAAAGCTCAATATGTTTAGAGAATGAAAGCACATTCTGCATTTGATTTGAACTATGGAGTTATATGAAGAAAGTCTGATGAAAAAAATAGTAAAATATTTATATTGATATGCATTAAAATAAGTGAGCATCAACAAGGCAGTGTTAAGGGAAAGAAGCTGGAATGAACATTGAAATAAATGGATTATTTCAATATTCTTTTGATGAGTGTAAAATGAAAGCATGAGATTACTTTTTTGGTTTGGTTCTAAGCAAATTGAGTGCAACATAAGGTGTTGGTTGACGGGGGTGGGTGATGGTCTATGACGACAATTGAGGTGGATGATGTTTGCCGAAGATAGCCAATGGCTGTCGATGGGTTACAACGGTGGCAGTTGATGGCAACAACGATGGTCGGTGGTGGTCGATGGTGGACCGTGGTGGCCGATGATGGTCAATATGGGCAATGGCTGATGGTTAGAGGCAGCCGTGGTGGCGGCTGATGGTGGTAGTCTTGGTCTGCGATCGATGACAGCGACGACGGTGGTCGACGGTGAGTTCTTGCGGATGGCAGTGGGTGTTGGCCAGCCGAAGGCGGTGGACGGTTATAAGATGTTTTTATATAAACATCTTATAATTTAAATGAACTATAATATTATTTATTGCTATTTTTTATCTTGACCTTACTTCTTTTTTTTTTCCAAAATTTCATCTTGCCTTTAGCATTTTTAAATTAATTCTCAACTTTCTCCATGGTTGCTTCATATGACTTTCCACACGTGAGATGTGTTCCACCTTTTTTTCTCTCAATAAATTTAGAGAATAGAAGAATAGAAAAAAATTGTGCCAGTGGCTATCTATGGAAATAAAAATTAACAACTAGTCAATATTCAATGATAAAAAAAAAAAGAGAAATAAAATTTATAAAAGAACATTAAAATTGAATGATATTCTCTATCATTTTTTCATCTCTCTATGAATACGAGTGTTTTATGTCGATAAAGAAATTTATTCCATTTGTATTTTAAAATTTAAAATTTTAGTTATGTTAAAATTTTATTTTTGCGAATAATTAATTTGTTGCATATTAAAAAATTCATAAGATTAGATAGAGAGTTTTATGTTTTAATTTGTATGACACTGCAATGGTGACATTAAATTTTTTTATGTGAAAAATACAAAATATTAAAAAAAAAGTACTAAAAAAAGAATAAGGAGGAAGAAAAGAAATCCAAGTCCTTTTTCACTACCCAAACTTTCTCTCATAACCTTTGTATTATTCTTCTCTCATGGATATCCCCTAAAATCCTAATATTAACCATTAAATAGATCTTCCAAAACTAGCGCCAAATCAATTGTCATCCTACAAAATCAGCAAGCAAAATAGTTTATTTTTGTGTTATAGCACCTTTTTTTTATTATTTGTTTTTTTATTTTTTTTGTAATAGCACCTTGATGCTACACTTGTTGCATGAGAGTCTGAGAAATCTAGGACCTTGCATCAAAGCAAATGCTTTTTGTCAAACTAGATGGAATAAATATGAGTAATCATGGAGCAAGTCTCGTCATCATGGAGCCACTTTTGCCATTGAAAGTCTAGCAATGTGGCACCAACTTAGCCACCAATGCCACCAAAACTTATTTTTCCCGTAAGTACGGTTCCTTCTCCACATCATCACCATTTCATCTTCCATTCATGAATTCTTATGTATTGAACTCACTTAACTACGAATGATTTTTCCTTAATAGATGATAATAACATGTGAAAATCACATAAGTGTATATATATATATATAGTCGGTTTATTAAATACCATGTATCGGGAATATTGTGTAACACTCGAAGACCTTAAGGAGGATTTTAACCTAATTTACCTAAATACCTCTCCTCACCCAATTTTTCTTTTCGCTACTAGAGTCATCTAATCATCAAAAACATACAATCAAATATACCACAAATATATGTATAAACTCCTATTAATATTTTCATTCATTCAAAGATCCAGAATAATAGTTCAGAATACAATGACTTCAACAAAAAATCTAAATAAATTCTAAACAAACTCAGAGTAAGCCAATTACATGAATTCTAAAACAATGGGTGTTATAGAAGGTAAATACCAACTTGAAGAAATATAATGATTTTTTTATAGAGTCCTTACTATATGGGCCTGTCAGCCTAGCTAATGAAATCCAATAAGGTTCCACTAGCCTGCATACAAGTATGCAGTTCATATGTTTGCAATAAACAAGTTTTGAATGTATATTATATTCAATATACCAATTTTTATTTCATTCTGAGTTTTAATTTGCAAGCATGGTATTTATTACTTCTAATAGAAGTAGGTGTGGAAATATATTTTTTTATAGAAATCAATATGTATATAGGTTTGCAAGAATAACTCGAGATAAATCAATCTATGAACCTTATTAGTTCATTATGAGCATAAAAAGATGTCCACAAGTATATGCATAAAGCATACAATTTTTTTAATAAATTCAGGACTTACTATGTATTGCCCCTAAATTTTGGATGTTACAGTTGATATCAAAGCAAATGTTTGATGGAAAATTGAATTGTAACAAGAGCTATATGTGTTGATTAAGATTGGTATTGATACGTCATCAAAAAATTATCTTGATCAGGCACGAATCTAGATGCAAAATCAAGTTGGAAACATCCAAAATTAAAATTGGGACCATCCGAACTCCGATTTCAGCAATCTTATAGTCAAACTGAACGTCTCGGAAATACAAACCAACGACACCAAATTCGACTCAATCTGAGCCCAAATGAGTCCAAATCAAGGACTCGAAGCGCTGTTGGAAGGTTCGAACCACAATTTGGGTTAGCAATCGATTTCAAAACATGACATGCCTATAGTCGAATCAAGCGGCTCAATGAGACGAATCCATCGAGCCCAAGATAGCCAAATTCCGACATCGTTAAGACCTTGAAATGTCTGACGAACGGTATGTGATCATAGGATTCAATATCGGTCATCCATCCAACCATTCCCCATTTACCCTTGATCTATCACGTATTTACGGGTCATGCCACTCCAGAAATCTATAAATAGACCCCTCATTCCTCTTGAAGGGGGATCCAAGCAAGAAGGAAAGAAGCAAGAAGAGAAGAAGCAAGAAGAGAAGAAGCAAGAATTAAAGAAGGAAGAAGAGAAGGAAGAGAATGAAGAGAAGGAAGAAGCTCCTCCTTGACCACTGTCAGACTCCACCGGACCACCACTTAAGGCCCTCACGGACCACCGCCTGACGTCGTTCCTCCGCTGGACCACCACTTGAGGCCCTCACCTCTGCCGGACCACCACCTAACATCGTCGCTCCGCCGGACCACCACTTAAGGCCCTGAGCTCTACCAAACCACCACTTGAGGCCCTCATCTCCGCAGGACCACCGCTTGAAGTCATTGCTTCGTCAGACCTCCACTTGAGGACCTCACCTCCGCTGGACCACTGCCTGATGTCGTTGCTCTGCCGGACCACCGCCTGACATCGTTGCTCCGTCGGACCACCACTTGAGGCCCTCACCTTCCCCGGATCACCGCCTGACATCTTTGCTCTACCGGACCACCACTTGAGGCCTTCACTTCCACCAGACCACCATTTGAGGCCCAGACTTCCGTCGGACCACCACCTGAGGCCCGAACTTCCGCCGGACCACCACCAGAGGCCCGGACTTCCACCGAACCACCACCTGATGACCGGACTTCTACTGTAACACCACCTGAGGCCCAGACTTCTGCCGGACCACCACTTGAGGCCCGAACTTCTATTAGGCCACCACCTGATGCCCAGAGTTCTACCAGAAATACCACCCTACTACTATCGTCCATCGACTATGGTCATTCCAACATCCATCACCTATTACGATCCTTCTGATATACATCGCCAGACAACGGTCTTTCTAACCACAGTCTCCTGCCAACTACAGTCTTTCTGACCCATGTCTCCTGCCTAATACGATCTTTCAAACCCCCATCTCGTACCGATTATGGTCCTTTCGACCTCCATCACCAGACAATGATATTCCTGACCCAGGTCTCCTGCCAACTACGATTTTTCAGACCCTGTCTCGTGCTGACTATGACCCTTCCAACCAAACAAACATTACTATGTTGATTATTGTAACTCTCACCATGTAATGCGCTATATATGACGCACATTTGTAACATCAATCCAACGCTTTCTCCCTAAGAAGGGTCTCATTTGTAATCGACTGCAAATACTAGTGGATTCATTCAAAACTGGGTCAGACCCCGTGGTTTTCCCCCTTTTCAAGGGTTTCAACGTAAAAACTCTCGTGTCTCTTATGAACGCAATACACTATCTTTTTTATCTGTGCGCGTGTTGGATCTTTGTACAACACTAAGACGTTAAACTATATATTTTTCTACCGCTGCGAATACTCCAGGGCGCAACAGGTATAACATGCATATATATGATTGAATTATAAATTGACAAGAAAGATAACTATATTGAGTACAATAGATCCACTTAAAATGAGCACAATACAGTGGCCCCAGTGAGTTTTGACGACATGATGTAGTTTGACATCTTAGTTGATGAGTGATGCACATAGCAAACAGATAGAGACTAAGGAGACTGGGAAGACCATTTTGCAAATGTTTCACAAGTTAAATGCCTCTGCTATTTTAGAGAGTTGTAGAGTAACAAGCAATAGAAGATTGGTTGCTGAAAATTAAAAATATATTTGATAGCATACAGTGGCCGGAGAATTGAAAAATACTACTGATATTGTTTCTATTTAAATGTCAAGTTAAAAGATGATGAATCAGACATCAGAGAGAAAAGTTTCAAGACAAGTTGAACTCACTGATCACCTGAGTGGAGTTCGTTAGTACCTTCAGAGATTCATTTATACTTCAGTCAGCACAACAATAGATATATGAAGCTTTCAGGAATTAAATAAGTGGAATAGAACAATGTTGCAGTCATATTGACCATTGGTCAACATTTAGTTCTTAATGCTACTCATCAGAAATTACTGGATTACTACAATTACATCTTGGAGCTTTGATTAGAAATCTCTCTACTCTAATTGCTTGCAGTGGTGTATAAAATTTATTCTAAAGTGAAGCCCCTTCATGGCAAGAGGTCAGTTAAGCCTTCCTCCATTAATTTCCATCAAGTGCCAAATCAAATTCAAACTCAAGAGCTGGAAACTGCCTCGAGATCTTCCCTGGCGTATTTCTCTTCGCTTGGGGACCTAAAGATAACACATTATTAGGGAATAATTTTGATTTTGGCGCTATATAAATGCGCTACTTAGCATCAATTTCTATACGGTGCCAATCATCTCTGTGCGTTCATGTTCGTCGACATTTTTTTAATTGTTTAATGTTTATGTTCCATCACTATTCTTGTTGTCCGTAATATTTGTTCATCTCAAGCTACAATCTTTTTTCCCATGCCGCGCTTAGATGAAACATGGCACATCCCAGAGTCTTCCAACTCGCCAATCTCCTCCAACCTTGCATAAAAAGTAAAGCTTTGCTCTCTGGTAAGGCCGTCCATGCCCAAATACTTACTTCCGGCTTCTCCCTCGATACCTTCCTCTCGAACCGCCTTATCGAGCTCTATTCTCAATGCAATCAATTCGAATCCGCCCTCAATTCTTTTTATGCAATTCCCAACCCTAACGTCTTCTCTTGGAATGCCATCCTCTGTTCGGCTTCCAAATCTGGCAACATTGATTTAGCACACCAACTGTTCGATCAAATACCTGAGAAAAATGTTGTCTCCTGGAACACCATGATCGGTGCAGTGGCGCGAAGAGGATCGGAAGGGAAAGCCTTGGACTTGTATCATGGAATGATTCAACAAGGAATAATGCCGAGTCATTTCACATTTGCGAGTGTCCTCAGTGCGTGTTCGAGCTTGATTGATTTGGTTGATGGTAAGATATGTCACGGGCTCATTGTGAAAGTTGGACTAGATTCTAATTTATTTGTAGAGAATGCTCTTCTTGCTATGTATACTAAGTGTGGGATTCTAGATGATGCAACGATACTCTTTGACGAGATGACTCGACCAAATGAAGTGTCTTTTACTGCCATTATTGGAGGCTTGGTGCAAAGCGGTTGTATTGCAGAAGCATTAAGGTTGTTTGCAAGAATGCATAGAAATAATGTCTGTATTGATCAGGTTGCAGTTTCGAGTGTTCTGGGTGCTTGTGCTAAAACTGAGGAAGAAGCTTATAGTCCTGATCAGATATCTTTCAGCTTTACCGTTGGCCAAGCAATACACGCCCTTGTTTTAAAAAATGGCTTTGAATCGGAATCCCATGTTGGTAACTCGCTAATTGACATGTATGCAAAGCATGGAAACATGGAGAAAGCTGACTTTATTTTCAAGTCATTGCCTTCAATAAATGTTGTTTCATGGAATGTTATAATTGCTGGATATGGGAAGAATGGTGATGCTGAGAAGGCTATTGATATGTGGAAGCTGATGCAAGAATCTCAATTTGAACCAGACGAGGTTACTTATATCAGTATGCTTAGTGCTTGTGTAAAGTCTGGGGACGCTGAAACTGCTCGGCAAATGTTTGATAAGATAAAGTCTCCTAGTGTAGCGTCATGCAATGCTATTCTTTCTGGTTACTCTCAGAATGAGGACCATCAAAAAGCAATGGAGTTCTTTAGGGAAATGAAGTTTTCAAACTTAGAACCGAATCGAACAACACTCGCAATCATTCTGAGTTCATGCTCTGGAATGGGAATTCTTACTCTTGGAAAACAGGTTCATGCTGCTGCTATGAGGTTCATACTCCATGAAGACATGTTTGTCTCTAGCGGACTTGTTGATATGTATTCGAAGTGCGGGGATATTGAGGCAGCCAGGCAAGTTTTTGATAGGATGACAGATAGGGATGTTGTTAGTTGGAATTCAATGATCACGGGTTTCGCTCACCATTCTCTAAATAGAGAAGCTTTTTCCTTTTTCAAATCGATGCGCGAAGTTGGAATGTCTCCAACCGAGTCCTCCTATGCTAGTGTGATCAATTCATGTGCCAAATTGTGTTCTTTGCCTCAGGGAAGGCAGGCACATGCCCAGATAATAAAGGATGGGTATGACATGGACACATATGTTGGAAGTTCTATTATCGATATGTATGCCAAATGCGGCATAGTGAATGAGGCTCGCTGTTTCTTTGATAGCATGCCATTGAAGAACATTGTTTCATGGAATGAAATGATACATGGGTATGCACAGAATGGATATGGAGAGGAAGCCATCAAGCTCTTTGAATACATGCTAGACGCCAAAAAGAAGCCGGATTCTGTCACTTTTATTGCTGTTTTGACTGCTTGTAGCCATTCAGGGTTTGTTGATAAGGGAATACAATTCTTCAACTCCATGCAAATTGAGCATGGTATTGAACCGTTGGCTGACCACTATACTTGCATTTTAGATGCCTTGGGGCGTGCTGGCTGCATAAGGGATATGAAGTTGCTATTAGAAAAAATGCCATGTACAGATGATCCCATAGTATGGGAGGTTGTACTCAGTGCCTGTGTAGTTCATGGAGAAGCCAACTTAGGCAGGAAAGCAGCTGAGGAACTCTTCAGAATCGATCCAAAGAATTCTGCACCATATGTACTTCTAGCCAATATATATGCCTCTACAGGCAGATGGGCTGATGCAACTGCAGTGAGGAAATTAATGAGTGATAGAGGAGTGATAAAAGATCGTGGGTATAGTTGGATTCATAATAAAAGAGGTGTCCATGCATTCATGGTTGATGATTTTTTGGGTTTGGTGGATGGTAATGGCAGAAAATCAAATTTTGATGCTCACTCACATGAAATTTGTGCTGCTTGATGCAGGTGAAAATGAGACTTCAAGGAGAAGCATGGCTTTTACTAATATGTTATGCAGTAATTTGCTTTAGCAAGTCTGCTGCAGTTATACATTACTCAGAATGTGTCCGTAATTGCTCCATCCAGGACATGTTGGATGCCACAGGTACTAATCAATTTGGGGCAGGTTGCAATGACAGAAAATCAAATGTTCAATGATTCAATCCCACTCACATGAAATATGTGATGCTTGATGTCAGATGGAACATAAAGAGCTGTTTTCAAATGAGATGTAGCTTTACTAAATGACAGAGTTATATGCAGTTATTGGCTTTGCAAGTTCTGCAGTACTGGCAAGTCAAGGAAAGCGTGTATGTGATTGATTCATCCTTTTTTTGATGTTAAGAATACAAGACAAGCATATTTAGTGTCAAGTTATTAAAGAAACCGGGAATTTCAGATTCAATGGGTCTAAGTTTGAAGATTGACTTCTTTCTGGACCAAGAGACTAAACTTTAGGTAGAATTGACTGGACAAGACAGGATTATTTTTTCATAACCAGCAACAATGTTTCAGAATTTTCTCTTGAAAAATGCTTAAAATTCATGGGCAATTTACAGATATAGTACTCATAGCATTAAGCTTTATATATTTAACACCTAAACTTCACTATCTCCATCATCTAGCACTCCGTTAATGATCTCAGCAGACACAACGAGGAAACAAATGGATTGTGCCAGTCTGCCTCATGCCTTCAACTTCATTGGATCTCCTTGTAGCCTTGCATGATCAGTGCAGAAACGAGCAGATTTGAAGGCACACATAGGGCAGATGTGGTGGCTGGTTTGTTGAATCTCGCAGAGCTGGGGCTCGAGATGCAAATAGTATAAATGTGGCAACGGCTGGAGGCACGAACAATGCAGAGGGTCGTGGCTAGGAGCGGCGGCTAAAAGATGGGACCTGTGGCATGTGAAGGTGACAGGACTGAGCACGTTGAAACGAGAGGGTAGCAAGAGGAGCTATTTTTTATTTAATTCTGATGTTTTGTTTGAGTATAATACATGTAAATAGTAAAATTTAGGAGTTAAATATGAAAATACTAATGTTTAAAGTGCTATATATATAAATCCCCCTAAATTCAACTGGCATTTTTCCCAACAATATATTCCAGTGAGTTATCATAAATTTCAACTAGTGGCATGCAGAGAAACCACTTGTTAAGTTGGAAGAACAGGTGCCTGTGCTGGATTTGCAATGCAGGACGGAATTCCAGTTCACACTTATTCCTTTGGACACCAAGATGTCTAAGATTTGTATTAACAAAGGTAATGTATGGAGAAGGTAATGTATGGAAGCTTGAAAATGTTTTATTACGGAAGCTGACCTTTTTTTTTTTTTTTGCTATAATTTAGTTTGCAATGTGAAATGTTTTGCCATATTTTTTTCTATTTCCCCCTTTTTTGGGTAGTGATCTCCTCATTAAATTCAGCCTTATCTTGCAATGCTTGGTGAACAGCTACCTGAATCTCCTTCTTTCAGTTATGCTGAGTTCTATACGAGATATTAAATCCAGTTTGCAAATATTTTTTCACAAGTTTTGGTCATGTTACATTTGACCTACCCATTTTCCGTCATAGTTCTTTCACATTAATCACATCTCTGGTTATTAGTTTATCATATACTTCTATTGTATAAGTAAAAAAGCATTTACGTTAATTTTTCACTATCTCATCTTCAATAGGAGACCGCTTGTCTAATAAACTTATTTTTCACTCTTATTTCATGTTATAAAATGGTTTTGAGTCGATAGAGATTCTTGAAAAATGTCATCTTTTGTATGGGCTCATTTCTTGCACGAATGTTCTAAAAATGATGAGCCTGCTCTGAGGAATTGTCTTATGGGAAGAAACTGTAATGCCCAAGTCAATAGAGGAATATGAAGATGAGAAAATATGAAAGCAAATTAGTAAAGCTTCCTTGAAAGAATGAAATGAAATGAAGAATTAATCTTTTACCTCCCATGCCTAGGGCATTTTAAGTGTTGGGGTGAAGGGTGATTTAATACTTTAGGTGGAGTATATAATGAATAAATGCATAACCTTATCTTAAGATCTATGTCAGACCAAAATGCCTCTAGATCGAGAGCTATTATTCTGTGCGGATGCCGGACGGTTCTCCTGTGTGGTTCCACGCTCCGTACGGAGCGCGATACATTTTTGGGGCTATGTGACGCATTTTTATTGATCTCCGGACGAATCCGAACCCGCACGTAATAATTTTTCCTAGATCGATGGTATTTTGATCCTTAAGTAAATTTAAGGGTAGAGAAGCAAATCATCCCCACGATCCATGAAGAACTATTATGCAGAGATTAGTCTTAAACTTTTAAACTTAGCCCTAAGCGATGACTTCACAAAGTCACCTAGTTAGGGTAATCTGCCTCTTGCTTAAATAGTTGAGTATACATTCAAGGAAATAGTTTTTTTTCCATTATTTTCTTGATCTAAATCATCGACAACTCGAGTTTTTTAGCTTGAAGTTTGGTTGACTTCAAGTAGAAATTCAATTGTTAATTTGAAGATCAAACTTGTTAACAGTTCCTTGAGGATTTTCAAGTGACTTCAATAAGGGAGACCAAGAGTTTTTGAATTTGTGAAGTGACTTTATACTTTCTTAGGGGTGAGCTGGTTGAGTGCACGAAATTGTACGCTTTGAATCTTGTGAGTTTTTTCCAGTGGGACTACTTCCCTTAGCTGGCTTAGTCACAAAGTTTTTAGTTTAATTATTTTCATTCCAAGGTTTATGCAATCTTATAGATTCCTTTTGCAATATAAAGAATTTTCTTTATATTGTCTCAAAATAAAATTTTCTTTCATTTCATTAAAATAAATTATATGAATTTTAGAGTAGCATTTCCTTTTCATGGATAGAAAATTTTCTCAGAATCGGCTAAAGTACCCTTTTTTATTTTTTATTTTTTATTTTTTTATCGGCTAAAGTACCCTTCTTATTGTGAATGACTTGTGTATTCATTATAGTGAATCGGATGGCAGTGTTCTCAGAATTTTGCGCACACTGAAGATTTCTACAAGTGATAGATCTTCCAAAAAGCTCGTCAGCTTTAAGTAGGTATTGGGGATCTTAAATTTTCAATTGCCTAAAGTTTTTGACTGAAGGTGCAATTATATATAATGATATATATTCAATGAATGGATTGACCGGAGTTGCAACAAGTTCAACCTGCATTGCTTCCGCTTCTTTACTGCTTAGATTGCCATCTTTATTGTTGTGTTAGCCATCAAATTTATCACCCTTAAAACAGTAAGTCAGCTAAATAAATATGATAATAGAGGACTTACTCGATGCAAAAGTATTCAAGTCTGTCAATTTTAATTTTTTTACTTTGAAAAGATAATTTTTACAACACGTAACAACACATTTCTTGCTATACTCCATATGTGAAGTCCTTGGACTCTAAAGATGTTGTTGGCATATGGAGATAAATCATCTTATGTTGTTATCTCCTCTTGAACTCTAGGGAGCATAAAGTCTGTGATTAAGTCAATCAGTATATGCACCTTAGTTACAGCCTTGGCATGTAGGAGATTTGAAATTCATTAAGCTCCATTAGCCATTTGAGAAATTGGCCCAACTGATCCAACTTCAAGAGAATGACTTTCAGCAAGTGGACTATGGCGACTTGAATTGCGTGAGCTTGGAAGTGGGGATGAAATTACCAAGAAATGACGTAATCACCAAGGCCAGTGTTTTCATGATTTGATATCTTAATTCGACTCCTTAGAGAATTTTACTAACATGGTATATTCATGATTGCTTTTTTACATTTTCTTTATTAGAATTAAACTGATCATCTCTTTCTTCATGCTGAGACAAAGTAGTAATTTGTTGCCTAATTGTGGGATCTAGGGTAGAGTCGGGGAAGATAGAAGTGTTTTTAACTGAGCAACACTTGGTTGCACTTATCAATCCACTAAAAGTGCTTGGCTCTTCAAACTGCTTTAAAGAAAGGCAGGCACTTATCCTCTAATTTTGAAATGAAGTGACTAAGGCTTGCAACTCATTATGTTAGCTATGAATCTCTTTGGTGGTTACAAGAGGTGAAATTTTCAAGATTGCTCTGAATTTGTTCACATTTATTTTGATGCCATCAAGTTTAGGGATGAAGCCTAGAAACTTCCAAAACCAGCTTCAAAAATATACTTTAGATGGTTAAAGTGTACGTTATATTCTATCAGTATTATGAATGTCTCCTATAGATCAAGGATATGTTTTGTTGAAGTTTTGTTATTGACCAACAAGTCGCATCATAAACTTTCATGTTCCATCCTTTTTGATCTTTGAAGGCACAATTCATCATTCATTGGTAAGTTATCTCAATATTCTTTAGCCCAAACGACACAATGTTTTAACAGTATAATCTAAGCTGTTGATGAAAGTTGTTTTATTTATGACATTATGATGCATTTTGATATGATGATAACCTGCTAAGGAGTCCAGAAAGCTCATCACAGGGTACTCAATTATCAGGTCCACTAGAGCATTTATCCATAGGAGTAGGTAAATATCCTTAGGATAAGCCAAATTTAGATTTATGAGGCTAACACATCCTCTACTTCTCATTTTCTTTTTCCACTATAGTTGGCCAGTGGCATTTGATATTCAACTCGAGTATTATGAAGTCGGCCTTCATAAGCTTCAGAACCTCATGGTGAATGGGCTCAACAAAAGTTATGGTGACTTGGTAAATCTTTTAAGGCAGGGAAGAAGAGAAGGGAGAGAGAAGAGGAGAGAGAAAGCTCTCCAAGGCTTTTCCGTCTTTGCTTTTGTTATAAAAAGAGTTATAATCATTGTAAGTGGTTATATTCTTATTCATATTTTTGATAGTTTTGATTTCTACGATTGTAATCTTCATGAAATTAATAAAAATATATTTTCTCATAATTTATCGAATTTTCACTTTGTAACTTTTTTTATGTAGTGGATATGAATTATACGAGCATTTTGACTGTAATATTATTGAATTTCATTTAGTAAATTGAAGTTATGATTTTATGAAGTAGATGCATATTATACATATTTTGTAAATTTCCTTGCAATTCATGGATTATTGTATTTGATACATGATATTGACTTATATTGCTTAGAAAAATGGCATGATTAATATGAGAAAAATATCATATTTGCATGTAAGTAAGGAATACTGGTTGTTAACACTATAATACGGGTTGACTCTTAAAATCTAATACCCTACACAAAAGGGTGGGTCGCAAGCTTTCCTTAAATAAAATATTTGTGGTGTGATCCTGATTATAGCATGTAACAGATTGAACGAATTACGCCGATGGGTAGAGAATGACGACTCTTAAAGATTTATTGAATGCCACTTGTGAATTGACTTAAGACAATGAAAAATAATAATAAGATAAGGACCAATGACCAACTAATTGACAGTTGAAGTTAAATTAAAAATTGATGACCAATTGATTAATAATTAAGGTGAAAGAATAAAAACATCACATTAAAGTTGGATGTTATGCCTTGCTACTTACAATCACATTCACAGTAGTGTTTACATAATAATAATACATTGAACTGATTGAACTAACATTGATACTTATACAACATAATATAATATACTGACATGAAATTTTGACGAAGTCTTATACCAATTTGTATTATGGCATCATAGACGTCTTTTAGCTTTACTGATCATATTAGGTTTACTATTGATTGATATAAATTTTATAGATTGTTTATTACTTATACTTAAAGACTATTGATTGTTGGTTTATATGGGATGTAACTCGAATATGCATATTGTTTCTTTTGCCTTATATTGAATGCAGTGGTAAGTTTTGGCTAAGTACTGAGCTTTTATACTCATTATTTGATTTTTATATTATTTCATATAAAGGTAAAGGTAAATAGCCTACAGTGTGAGGTTGGACAGTGATGTTAATTTAGTTCTAATTTTAACTATTTGATTTTATATGTATTCTTTTATAGCATGTAGGGACTATTGTATACATTATTTTTTACTTTGAACTTTTAATCAAAATATAAATATTAACCATAGTAATGAAATTATATTTCCTGCTATTTGTATGTTTCCCGAATGCAATTAATTAGCTGTAGTTATTACCCGAATGCAATTAATTAGCTGTAGTTATTAATAATACGGCTGTTAATGAATTGAAAAAGATAATAAAGAGAATAGAAATGAAATTCTTCCACTTTAGATTCTAAGGCATCACATTTGGAGGGTTTAATTTGTGTCGTTTTCTGAAATGGTGACTTTTAATGATCTTGGAGGTGTAAAGACCATTTTCACTCTGAAAATCAAGTTATAATACTTCTTGTTAGATTTTCTCAACTGCTTTGAGATAGACAACCTAGGATTATAACAAATTTTCCTAAATGGTGGGAGTGTACCATCTTACCAGAAAATTTACGGGAGTCAAAATGATAGCCTTAAATGTGTTAAGTAGTAGAAAATAAAAAATGGCATTATAAGTCATTAAGGCGTTAATTATGATAAAGCTAGATATGCCATCAAAGATTTCTGCATGAAACTTAGAGAAGTAAAAATCAAAATACACATTGTTAGTGACCTCTCTCATTTCGTGAGGTTGTAGGTTAATTAGCCTCTTTATCACCTCATGGCAAAAAAAAATGATGGCGTTATTGTTAGACCAATGGTGATGCGACTTCATCACCAACTATTCACAGTGGTTGCTGTTGCAAACAAAACATGCCTTGCTGGTCTTAATGACTCAGTGTGCATAGGCAATAATTAGCTCCAAATCCTATATATTCACTCCAGCAATTCCTGCTAGAAGCTAGTCACAAAGTGACAAAAGGACTCATAGAGCTTTAATCTTACCCTTAACAGAGCCTATGAATTTTTAAGTGGCAATTGAGCATCGGTGTACTATGTTGCAAATAATCATTTCAAGTTTGAGAAGTTGATCTTGCTCCCAACAGGTAGATAAGAAAACCACTATAATGATGATCCCCTAGACGTGGTGAAGAGCAATTGACAATACACTACATCACTAATGATCAAAAGAGAGATTATGGACTCAAAAGACATGACATAGTTGGCTAAGTCTGAATTTCATCGGTAGGAATGAAAAAATTGGCATCATTAATTTCAGGAGAGGTTGGGCCATAATAATTTTTGTCGAAAAAATATTAGTTAGTCGTGTTTGGTGCTTTATTGATCGATCAGGCGGAATCGTATATGTGGGGCTCTCCTCAAGATATCTCTTCTTTAGAGAGAATCAGAGTAACTCCAGGGCTAGGGTGACAACAATAGATGGTAGAGTCAACATTTAATCTGAAGAAGATTGCATAAGAGGGGCAACCTGCCATAATTGTTCAAAAATTCTCTAGATCATCCTTGTGAGATGATCCTACTTATGTTTGAGTTACTCAAAAGTAGTTGATTTGTAATGATTTTCCTTTAGGACGCTCAAAAGCCTAGTACTTTATCTCAACCACTCCACTCTCACCCATATTTTTGGTGTAGGATTCAATGTTGCCTTTGAAGGGTACTAAGACCTTTAGTAAAATTGCATATTTAACCAAAAGATCAAGCTCTGAGATTCTCTATAGTGATTCAAATTTTATGGACTCAATAACCCCTTCGATAGAAAATAAGTAGATCAAACCAAATAGAGCAAAGTGAGAATCTAAGATATTTCAATGACATAACATTTAAAAAAATATATATATGATTGTGTCATGCTCATGCCCAAGCTTTGACCCCTTGTAAGCAAGTGCCAAGATGGAAAGTACAAGGGCTACTTGAGAAAATAGTAAAAAATATACGTAAGTAGATTCTATTTATATTCTAAGTAGATAGCTATTTATATAGTGGATGAATTTGACTGATATTTATCAACTAGGAGAAAATTTTGGTTAGAGTGTAAGCATTCTTGATAAGTTTAGTGTTGGACCAGTCCAACCGGTTCAGGGGGCATTTTTTTCAAAAGGTTGCTGAAATTAGATTTCAGCCCAGACTTTTCCTAAATTTCTGCAAGCATTTCCTATCATTTAGCTAACAAGAACCCCTAATTGGTAGGGTGCACTAAGAGAGTAACTTAAACGAGCAGCTACTTCGTTAGTCCTCTTGGTGAGTTCAATTTCTAAATGCTGAGGGTCAAGTAAGACCTATCTCCCAAGCAACTTGATATAATTCTGCTTTGTGCAGCTCGATGTTTAGGTTAACTCTAAGCTTGAGATTCACAAGCAACTCAAGCAGGTTCAAGATCAATTGCCAAAAAAATGTCACAACTCAGGAAAGTTTGAACCTTTATGATTTTTGTTACTGTTTTGTGATTGATACAAAATCAACTCATAACTATTTCTTTGGAAACTTTTGCAGAATCTGTAAAAATAGATATCATGGTATAAAACTTTCCTCCAGTTTCTATACATTAAAATTGTCATACATTAGATTATAGAACGGCTACGACATAAATATCAGAATGTTTAACACCTTCAACATAAAATATCAACCATTATTACTCACCAACCAAATTCACGCATCCTCTATCTGCCTTTTATGTTCCATGAAAGGAAATGATAGCCTGACCTATCTGATGGGTAGAACTTTAGGATAATTTCTCAATATCATACCTATCTTGGACGAGCTTTACTTCAGTCCAACTTCCTCCTTACCAATCCCTTGAAGAAGTCAAAGCTGCAAGAGCAAAGATAAAGCCATTAAGAGAGTAAAAATCAAAAGGTTGAAGAAATCCAAAGAAATCTCAGATATCCAACCTTCAAAGATACTAATTAAAAAATTACAGTCTATTTCTCGTTTATGAAAAAGTTGGGGAAATTTTGTTAAAACTGAATTTAATTTACCTGTTTCCATCAGGATGAAGCTCAAAATATCTTTGCTCCTCATCCATGGCCAACAAGTATCCGGAAGAAGTCAAACCCTACATACAAAACTTATGAGTAATATGTTCATCAATTTCATTCCCCTAAACTTTATACCGAGTGCTTTTATTCATCAAATATTTCTTCAGAATAAATGATTGATCAGTGTGCACAATCTGCATTCAATTATGGCTATTTCTATCTTACCTTTATAGTTACCGCTATATTTACTACTTGTTCCTCCTGCTTTTCCTCTATCACAACTTTCTGATCACTGCAGAAGAATAAAATTATATGTTAATATGGCTATCCTTGAAGGCATGTAGTTATTTCTTCCTTTCAGGGCATCCATATGAAACCAATATAGCTGTAAATTTCCTAAGAATAATAACAAAAATAAGTTGGATAAAGGTTTAGATATTTACTTATTTCTTCCTTTCAGGGCATCCATATGAAACCATCCATATTAGATGCTTCCATGTTTGTATGCTTACCCCGCATAGCAAGCTTCACATAAAAAGAATGCCACAAACAAAGAAAGGTTGGGAGCCTCCTTTTCTTCTTTCTTGATGATCTAACTCATCATTGGCTTCATACCAACTTTCAGGTTCAACTTAATGAATCCTCTTCACTCATGTTTTCTTAATACTACATAATATTTTAACTATAAATCTTTTTGAACGACTTCTTTCTTGTTGCTTTTGGTTAAATTCCTTTACCTAGCTTTTCAAATTACTTGAATTCATCTTATTAGTTCATCTTTCTACTCTTTATTGTAAACCAATCGAGTTTATTCTTCACTATCTTATCTTCAATAAATTCTATTATCACTATATCTGCAATATAATCATTTCTCTCTATCCTTTATAGTTTATACTCCACCACACATTTCTCTAATATTCTTATTCATACCACATTCAACTTAGTGATTAGCATCTATTCTATTTCCCAACACTAGATCCATATGAAATAACTCACCAATTGCATTTTTAGTTGATAAAATTAACCTTTAAGAAGTATTCATGAACTTAACATACATTACTCCCGAATGATATATTCATTTCATCTACTTAAATTTATTCTTATAAATTATATCCTCATCTAAATCTTAATTTTTTATAATAAATCATAAATAATTAAATATATCATGTCTAAATAGGATCATATCTTCTAATAAAATTGACTAATATTTATTAATATCACATCAACTAAAATTTCATATCAAGAATTCAATCTATGTTATACTCATCCTTATCACTTCATCTTAAAATTTTATCAACAACAAACTTTTCACTTCCATACTAAGAGGTGACACCGATTAAAACTATGTAGGTACACTTTGGATGATTTCTTGTAAAGTTCTATGATCAATTTGAAGAGAAAAAACTTAATATTGAGACTTAACATAATATTTATGTGAATATGAAAAAGTAAGCCTTGATGTTGGAAACTTATTTTGTCACTTCGCACTACTTTTTTGAAAATGGCTTATAGAAGTTTGCATGTCATTATAAAGGATAAAAGAATATTAGAGTAACATGGTACTGAATTTCTATACAAATCAGTTGCATTAACCTCATTTAGTCTTATCGCAAATATTTTGGGTTGGCTTTATGAATCTTGAACCTAATTCATTTTTATTTGAATACTAGATCAGAAGATTCAGGTGCTAACTATATTTTTGCAAGGGGCTTGCAATTATCCTTATCAAAATCCATTACCATTCTAAATGTTTGGGTTTAACTACCAACAATTGGAATTTGCATAGTGAAGACCAAATAAACAAACAGGTCCTCAAATCACCATGCATGGATGCGGTGGGTTTCAAACAATCTAAATGATACATCAGGGTCCAAAAGTTGCAGGAATGCAACAATCATTTTGATACACATAAAATTTCATATAGAAACAACTCTAAAGAAATATATCCATTTATTGAATAGGTAACAGTGTATACTTATCAAATTGAATTGTACCTATGAAGCCAGGTTCTGCAGTAGAGCTCCTCAAGGACCTGAAAGCCTGAAACACAAAAGTAAAATGATACATATTTAATTTTTTTTACAATCATTAAAAATATAAAAGTCTGGATCATTTCACATGGCAATCCGGGCAAGTAGATGCTAGGAAGAGCTTTGACTGAAACACTGAGAGAGAGAGAGAGAGAGAGAGAGAGAGAGAGAGAACATATCAAAGGCATATTGCTGGCCCTCATATAGAGAATATGATTTTGCATTTTTAGTGCATCAACCTTTTAAACAATCAAAATAGAAGGATGATATACAACCAACAACACATCAAGCAAGAGCATAACTAATACTAAAACAATCTCGATAATAAAGAAAGATTAAATGTCCATGCTAGTTCACATCATCTAAGTTCAAAACATTAGAGATAAAAGAATAAAAAATCAAAAGTTTGGATATAATACTTTTTCATCAAGAATAAACATTACATATCGTAAATTGAACTTCCTTCCCCATAGAACATCAAATATATCTTTAAATTCTTTAAAATCGTGATTTAGCCATGAAAAAAGCATGGGGCCTGTGATCAACAGGAATGGCTAGAAGAATAAAATTGATAAATTCTTTTTTCTTTTTCTTTTTGTACTTGTGACTTCAGACCTCATCATGGTATGAAGCATTAACCATCATACTTATGAAATTATAGGATGAGGATGCATTCACCATAATATAACATATAAGAAAACCAACAAAAAGCAGAGAACAAGGTTGCACGGATCCATGCCCACAAAAGTAATGATATGTAAGGGGCAAAATAATAAAGCATTGTTGATTCATCACCTTGATGCAAGAAAACTTCAAAAAGTTTTTCAAAATTATTGAAAAATGCTGCAAGTATATCCTCCCTTCCAAGTTGATGGGAAACAGCCGTTATCTCTTGGATTGCAGCATTTAAGGATGTTGTTGGTTTATCATTATCTAGGTTCAAGCCAACACCTGCAAAAATTAAAATCGTAAATAACTTTAGTAAAGCCAAAGTGCCATTTTTTATTGGCATACCACATATCTAAGGCAAGTTCTATGGTTCAAGATATGAAATTTTCATATTGCAAATTGTTAACAAAGATTAGCATACAGGCAGCTAAGAAAAGAGCCATTACCAGCACTAACGTTGAACTTATTCGAAGAATAAGTGGAGGTGCAGAGAATACCTCCCACTTTAAGCCCATTCAGATAAAGATCATTAGGCCACTTTATTCTTACATCTATTTGAGGTAGTCCCTGGAAATGAATGATACCTTTAAATCAAAACGTCATAAGCTTTATCAAACAGTAATTCAAAACCAAGCAACTTCCCAACATTCGATCGAGACGAAATAATCACAAAAAAAGGAGTAGAGCTTACTTTAGCTTGACAAGACTCCTTAATCGCCTCAGTTACTGCTAGAGAGACAATGTACTGCACAAGAGGCACTTTACGCCCATCTTCCATCTGCAACGTGAAAGAGAACATAAGGCAACCAGCTGGAGACTCCCACACATTCTTTGCTCGTCCTTGAACCGAAAACACACACAAACAAGTTAGTAAATTTTCAGAGAAGAAATGGCAAACTGGGAAGTTTTGATCTGAACCTTTGCCTTTGTACTGGAAATCCGTTATGCACGCTGTGCCTACAGGAAACTCGCAGAAATTCCTGCCAAAGACCCCACGAATAAAAATTCAATATCAGTAAGAAAAGGGGTGATGGAAATGAGGGGCATTTCTCACTTAGAAACAACATCGTGGGTGGAAGGGAGTCGCGGGGACCAAATTAGAAGACGGCCGAAGCTATTCGTATTGAGTGCGTCCATGTAGGGCTCAGCGCGGAAGGTAGGGTAGTCGATTGAGTCTATCTCGGACTGGAGAAGAACCCGAATTTCTCCTTGGGCTTCTCCTTCCTCGAAGAGCTTGAGAGTTTCCTTCTTGGCCTTTATGGATCGAGCGATTTCGTCTTCTTGAGAGGATTTTACAAAGAGGACAAGAACGGAGTCAGGGCGGCGGTCTTCCATGATGGCGGAACTCGTTAAAGAAAATGATGTGGAAGAAGAACGTGGTCGGCGGCGGAAGAAGACTATTGCGGCGGTTACGGCGGCGGCGGCGGCGGCGGCGGCGGCGGCGCTAGCAGGAATGTTTCGGAGGCCGAGCGGCATGCTTAGTTAGATCTCGAATGCCGGCGCCGGCCAGAGGTCAGAGTTGGATGGACGCGCTTCTTTGTGGGTCCATATGCAGTGACGTGGGCAACGTAACCTCCAACCCGGCACAACCCGTACAGAAAGCGTGAGCTTGGACTGGAAGTTTATAACTAAGGCCCGTTTGATTATTGTAGAAAGACTTCAAAAAAAAAAAGTTTTTAATTTAATTTATTTCATGCATGAAATTATTAAATTTGACATAATTTTAAGAATATTTTATACCTAAAAAAATGATTTTTGACTGCCAACTAAATAATATTTTTAATAAATATTATTATTTTTAAAAAATACGTTTTTTAACTTCAAGAACAAAATAAGAGAGCAAAAAAATGTGAAATGTAAAATTGAAAGAGATGTATGCTATACTTTGTCGCCGAGTTCGGAAGACGGTACGCCCCAACAACATAGGACGCGATGAAGGAATAGAAAAACCTATTTTACACTAAAAGAAGAAAACTGCATGAACCAATGATACAACATAATGTATCATAATAAATAACATAGAAAAAGCTAAACTTTTATTTTGCTACTACTAATTCAAAGCAGTACAACATTAAAAAAGTACTATCACAAGCAAAAGAACAATAAAAAATAGATAACATGAAAGTAACTACCCACCCTCAAAGAAAATATATGAATAACTTAATATAAACATAAAAGTACCCCATATCAATTCTTCTACTCAAGGGAAGATCCACCTAGCGCTCTAAGAGGACCTAATATGAACAAAAGTAATCAAATGCGAGCTTGATAAATCAAACCCAACAAGTAAATCATATCAAATAAAGCATAAATAGAAAAGGAACAAGACATGCAATATGACCAAATCAACAGTAAAAGTTGAAACCAACAATCAATATATCCATGTAATAATGTCACATGCAATGATTTTTACAAAGGTTCTAATATGTTAATATTGCAAATTTACATGACAACCTATAATTAATTCAAAAGTAATCAAATTTATATGAATACAAGCACACTATGTATCATCAACCTCTCACTAACCCACCAGTCATTCATTGAGTACAATTATGTCTAATTATAGTTAGTTTTGACAAACACCCTAAACCGGGAAGGTAAACACCAACCCAATGAAATCCAATTATTTCCTATAGAGTCATCACTATGAGATACCGTCGACCCTACTAGCCAACATCCATAGAGTTCTACTGACCTAAATACAAACATATAATGTCTAGGCTTTCACAAGTAAGTTTCCACATGTATTATAAAATCAATATGATAAATTTTAGATCTCATAACCAATATAATTTACAACAAGAGTGATATTTATTTCACTTAATAGAATTAAGATGCATAAATCAAATTATCTACAGCGGGAAACACATTAAACATATAAGAGATCGTGCATCAATAATTTAAGGTGATGTTCTATCTACGACAGAATGCCTTTATTTTGAGCAATAACAAGATCTACAATATATGCAAAATACAAATGAAGTTGAAAGCAAGACTAGCAACCTGAAATATAGGAGACCTAGTACGTTTAACAAGGATAAGCCCTAAAAAGAAGGGTATGTCTATCTAATAATAAATAACAATTACTTATAATGACTAGCATGAAATCCAAATCTGATAACGAGTTGCACACTTCCACCAAATGAAAACCTTATAAGAAGTGAAGCCAAATAATATAAAGCATGCACTTCAAGGGTTGATATTCTAATCAATCTAAGTGACACGATAATCAACAAATAAATTATCAAATAATGCAATCCACATATGGCCTAACTTATGATGCCTTAAGATCTAAAAAGGAATTTAACCCTAATTTCTTATCTTATTAAACTAATCATCCATAATTGCATATACATCAAAGCCACTAATCATTATAAGTCTATAAAATAAACATCCATAGTGTGCAAAACATAAATTCATTTTCTTAAAATAATCATCTACAAGAATCCATATCCCAAATATGCAGAATAAGCATAAATATCTTGGAATTCTAAAACATAAATACCTGATAACCTAGCTTTCTTGCTTTTTATCATACCGAACCTAAACAACTGTATTTTTATCTTTGCTTGAAATGGTATAAGCAACATAGTGAGTATAACTCAGTAGGTTAAGCCAAGTTCCCATTACAGCATTGATTTTATAATTACAAAAAAGATTGAAAGAAATGCCATTAAATATTAAAAGAGCTTTTAAACTAAATATCATAAAACATCATTTAATTTAACATTTACTTATAAAAGCATAATGTAAACACCTTGATGCCCCTTATAACTCTCAATATTCCACCTCCCAACACCTTCCGCTGGTTCAAGACATGTGCATAGCAAAAAGAAATCAAAATAAAAAAACATCCAAAATAGAGAGTTTCCAATATATAGTGTTTCCAATACAAAATATTTTCACATTGGGCCCAATTTTCTTTCCAGTTCAGAACTCCATGCATGATGTGCATGCAGAATACAATTATGAGCAATAATACAAATTATTTAAATAAATAATATCATGACATTTCTTGTATGGAGAAAACCCCCACTTTTTCAGTTACCAAAGTAGAGTACTCAGAATTTTGCCAAATTTAGAGAGCCTATACAAATTATTAAAATAACATACTTTCTTAACTATATTTCCAGTCATAAGTGTATCAAATTCTCAGAATCATTAAAAATCAATGCAAAAGAAACCAACCAGCGAAACCTTGTATTCTTATAGTTAAATTGTTTAAAACGAAGAATAAAACAACATATAAAATGTTACATGATAAAACCTTTTTAAAACACAAGAAAAACATTTTTGAAAGCATAAATTTCAATTTACTTGTCTGAATTAAAAACAAAATTGGGGTATGAGTTGTCTACCTCAAACTTGACGATTTCAAACCTCAAATCTCTTCCTTTTCCTTCTCCTTCCTCTCCTCTTCCTCTCTTCCTTCTCCGATAAGCTGGGGAGAAATGGAGAACTAGGTTTGGATTGGTGACTTTATATATTTATTATTTTAACAAGTATAAACTCATTGAAATATCGCAGCGCTACAAGGAGAAACTCCCAATCTCTTTCAAATTCTCGCTATCTACTCTAGGGTTCATTTCTCATATGATAAAGATGCTACCTAACCAAAATGATCCTCCAAAACCTCAAAAAATATTATTTTTTTATACTAGATTGCCGAATCCAACACCGCAACACTAATATAAGAAAATTGAAACATCCAAATTTCACTTCCTCAACTCAAATCTTCAAACAATTTAATCATCAAATTACTAAATAATACTTATAATTTTGGATTAAACCTAAAGATTACATTTTAAAACACTACTTACCTAACTTCTAAACGACAATTATTACATTATCCCCTCAAAAAAATATCATCCTTGAAATTTCACTTAAACAGAACAGGGTACAAACACATCATCTTAGTTTCTTTTTCTCATAATGCTTCGCTCTCTGATTGACACTTCCACAGAGCTTTGACCATTATAATTTGCTTATTTCTCAACTGCTCAACATTGAATGCCACAGTACGCTCATGTTCTTCTTTATAGGTCAAATTGGATTGCACTTTCAATTATGCTTTAAGGATTCTTTGTTCCGCATATGACTCCCATTTTTTTAGCACAAACACATGAAAGACATCATGAACATCAAACATATGATAAGGCAAAAATAATCTATAAGTAGATTTAAAAATTCATTTAGTTACTTCAAATGGTTCAATAAATCTAGGGCTTAACTTACTATATTTCTCAAATATGTTTACTCCCTTCAGTCGGATATCTTTCAAATAAACAAAATCACCAACTTAGAGTTCAACTAACTTATACTTGGGATCAAAATCCTTTCTTTGCCTGCCTTGAGCTACATGTAATATTTTCTTGATTAATCTAATGTTTTTAGTGGCACTATCCACTATCTCAAATTTTATCAAAAGCCTTTCTCCAATCTCTTCACAAAATATTTACTTATTTAAATAAAATTTTTAAAAGTTTTTTTTTAATTTAAATTTTTTTTACTTATTATTTTACCTTAAATGTATTTTTTTTTTCTTTTTTTCTTTTCAATAGCAACTTGAATCAGAATCTTCTTTTTTAATAATAAATGAGCCTAATTTGAATTCATAGAATTAAGCTCAAACTCAATTAGTTAAACTATAGCTGAAATTAGAGCCAGCTCAAGCTCAAGCTCAACCTTTACAGCCTACTTATCTGTGTCTAATTCAATGACATAATTTTCTATGATACCTATTGGACACTAAACAAAGTAGAAAAGAATTGTATATAGATCTATCACTTAAATTTTTATATTTATTTACACAACATTCAAACCTTCAAATTATATTGAAAAAGCCACTAACATTAATTTATTTAAAATAAAATATCTTTATATTTATATACATTGATATGATTTAAACACTATAATTGTGTATAAATAAATATAAAAATTTAAATATTAAATATATAAATACACAAAAATATTAGGACCGATAAGCAAATTCTCAATGTATTTATAACAAAGTTCAAGTTGGCCAATGAGGTGAAAATTGCTGTTAGCTAAAATTCAGGTGTTTTTGTAAGAAAATAAGGCCTAAATAAAACTTATATTTTGAAAGCAAGAATTCTTCATTAAATTAATAAATTCTATAAAACTCTTATTTGAGCTCATTAATCATTACTCATAACACAACAATAAAAACTTTCTGAGCGTTTTGTGAAAGAAAGAAGAAAACTATGAATAGCTGGAAATCTTGATTTGGGATTTCTTGCTGTTTGATCATAGTATTTATTTAACAAAGCCAATGAAATGATTATTTAACATTCATTAAGGTTTCGTTTAGAATGACTTTCTTAATGTTTCTTAAAGCAACTTTCTAGTATAAAATTTTTAATTTTAAAAAAAAACCTTCCCAAACGAGAGAAATTATTCCATGTAGAGGCCAGACGCAGCTCTACGTCCGGAGAGGAATCAGGTGCAACCACGTCAGCAGTACCAAGCCACGATACACAACAAAGGGGTGACGTGACGCATTTTGATTGATCTCCAAACATCATTCAACGTCCGCACATAATAATTAATCCCCAAGGGACAGCTTTCTTCATGTTTCATAAAATAATTTTTTAGTAAAAAATTTCCAAAAAGCTATTTAAAAAAGCTCTCCCAAACAAAACCTAATTCTCAAAATTTGTAAAATAATAAATAAAAAAGATAGATACATTTTGCATGAAAATTTGTCAAGTCAAACTGAAACAGCAAGAGAACGCGCTCAAAACTAAAAATTTGGATAAAGATCACTCCAACTTTCCTGAGTTTTCCTCACGAGAATGAACTAATGGCTGAAAAAGTGGTGCGTAGACGTGGTGCTGCATCAGAATAAGCAAAACACTAGTGTTTGCAGCCAAGAATAATATGCTTGCCAACCATAGTTGTAAGAAGACATTACGACCCTTGAATTCTAGCAGATAAGCCCACATAAGCCAGTGTGCTTGTGATCCTATCCATAAAGAGATGCAGAGGAAACCTGTCCATTTAAGTCTCATTCTACTCCAAGGAAGAATAAGTGGCAACAGGCAGAAGAACCATACAAAATACTGCGCGGTAATGACCTGTTGAAGACACAAAATGCAATAAGAATCAGAATCTATGAGGTCTGAAAATAGAGAATTGCAAGAACAGAGAAGAAAAAAAGCTTTGATGCTTTGCTCTCATGAGCTCCCCAATAAGGTTCCTCATTAGGGGTGTCAATATTTGACACGACCCGAAAATTTGACTTGAACCCGACCCGAAAATTCCGGGTTAGGATCAACCCGAACCTGAAACAGGTTGGGTTCGGATTCAACAATTCAACCCGTTTTAAAAATCGGGTCGGGTTAACCCTTTGACCATAAAATTGACCTTTTTTTGACCCGAAAACCTTTTTTTTTTACCCGGAAACATGAGATTGACCTGTTTTCGACCTATTTTTTTACCCGAAAAGCAGAGTTTGACCCATTTTTTGACCCGAAAACTAGCAATTTCTTCATTGTTCTAGGTCATTCAGGTTTTGTCGGGTTGGTCCAAAAAATTGACCCGTTTGCAAAAATGGGTCGGGTTTGGGTTGACCTGAATAGTGCTTGGTCAATTTCATGTTTGACCCAAACCCAACCCGTGACCTGAAATTGACACCCTTATCCCTGATGCATCCTCTCTGAATACATGGAAAATGGGACAAGAAAATAAGGAAATATTTTGCCCCTTTATCTATCATTCAGAAGTTGCCACAGTAGCCATACATTCTTCAATGGGTCTCTTGTAGGAATCAAGAATATTTTCTAAAAACAAATGTATGGCTTCTCCAAGAACCTATTATTAGTAAGCCTTCAATAGTTAATAAAGAAGATAGAATATGAACCTTATTAAACGAAACAAATGCAACTGTCTGAAGAAATAGGCAAAACGGGAGATCTTCATAGAATTGCAAGACTACAGTGAACTGCACGATCAACTGAGGCAAAAAAGAGACGAGCTTTTCTAAAGCTGAGAAACCTTCCTGGTGATGAAGATAAATATAGTAGAAATAGATGGAAAAGTTATGCCTTGGATCTGTGCGCGTAAGATGATATAGCAGGGCTTCATTCAAAAACGCCCATCCATACAGATGGAAAAAAATAGCAGTAAATGTAAAAAAGACAGATCCAGATAAAAGCCCAAATAAAACAGCTTCTTTTGTGAAGATGGCCCTTACAGAAAACCAAATTGAATATGAACTAGCCACCTTTGAACAAGAGCTTTCTAGTAAGATTTTGTGAGTTGAGACCCATTGGCTAAGGATAGGCTTTTCAGAAGGACCGACACTCTTCTTATTGCTAATAACTAGCACAAAAGGAAGGCAATATATGATTGGGTAAATTCTGAAGTGAACGATAAGCCCATACCAGAATGCTGCCTGACACACCTTACCTGGAATTTAAAAAAAAAAAACAGGAGAAAAGGTTGAGTAAATGTTTGCAGACAAGAGAATTTAAATCTAATAAATATAAATAACAGTGGTATCTACCTAGTGGTATGAACTTTTAATTAAAAAACCAATGGTTTACACAGAATAATCAGTAAGAAAAGTAGGTTCTGCAAACGATTTCCTAGAAAACATTGCTGTTTGTAACAAATATTTAATTATGCTGGTCATGCAAACTCGAAGAGATGCAGAGTAAACTTCAACACATAAAAGGCATACATTTAGTGATTTAACATCAAATCTAATAGAAGGACATCCATATAAAATATGATGACTTACTTTACAAACTATTTATCACTGCTCGATGATTATTAAAAAAAAAGATATTTACATACATACCATTTTATACTATTCTATTTACATAGTTAACACCTGAAACTTTAATATTACATACATACCACCCATAGTTCATTTTCATATCAAATATGAGTGGCATAAATGAAATATATGAGTGATATGAAAGAAATATAAGTGGTATATTTGATATTAAAATAATATAGGGTGGCATACATGTAATATTAAAGTTTTAGGTGTTAGATATATAAATAGGATGATATAAAGTGGTAGTATGTAAACATAAAAATGATTTTGAAGTGTGCTTACACTTGCTACGAACAATTGCAATTTGTAATAAAGCTGTTTACTAAGCTGTTGTTATATCTTCAATGGCTTTTGAATAAGAAAAAATAGACACGGAGGCTTCTTTACTAATACACAACTCATTTACAGAATAAAACCGGATTTATTTGCAGGATAAAAAGTGTATATTATAGATGAATTAGAGCTTACACCATTCATAAGACATAAGATAATCCATAGAACCACTGCACAGACTATAGGTTCACAGTTTCCTCTGGTACCAATGGTGAAAGTAAATGGGTTGAAAAGCCAAGCAGCCACACACCATAGTGAGACTTTCTCAGGAACACCGCGCTGCTTTAAGATGCTGTAAACAAATAATCCCACCAGCAAATCTGAAAATGATACCAACTTCAGTTGATAAAACTGTCTAATTTCACGCTATGATTACAATCTATTCACTAAAAAGTGACACCAGTAATTAAAATGAACAAATCTACTAAGATGTGACTACTAGGTGAATGAAAACCCAGGGGGAACTTTAAAGCATCATGAATGACCACAAACGTGTACATAAGTCCTCAGCAAGACATAAGTCATATGATTCTTCTTCAAAATTATACTTACTGGAGTTTTTCATTACAAAAGCTTCGTACTGAAGTAAAAATTATAGGTAAACTTATACAATAATAACAACATCAATCCTTTATCCCACTACGTGGGGTCGGATACATGAATTATTTTCTTTCATTGCGTCATATTAAGAGTCAAATTCTGATTTAAATCTAATAAAAAATTTGTAATTTCTAATACTTTCTAACACTCTCATAACATATGCCAATCTAATTTAAATCTAAACGAGTCATCGGAAGGCCAACATTTTATGTGATCAAACCATCTAAGGCGATTCTCTCTAATCTTATATGCCGCTGGAGCTACACAGACTTTTTCCTGTATATACTCGTTTCGCATTGTCTCTAAGAGTAAAGCCACTCGTCCACCTAAGCATCCTCATCTCTGCAACATTTAACTTAATTTCATGCTTCTCTTTTAAAGGCCAACATTCTACGCCATAAAGCATTGCAAGTCTTTTCTTGGTGATCCAAGAAGCTTTGACACCTTTCGAGTCAGTGTAAACTCTTAAAAGATATAGAAGAAATATAGAGAAAGAGATTGATGGCTTAAATCTCTAAATTCAATAACCTTTGTTTTGGCTACTAAGGCACGATTTCTAAGGACAATCTCTACAAAGGGGTTATAAGGAAGAGTTAAAGTTCACTTTTTGCGCAAATGCACAAATATTGATAAGAATGACAATCAACTATTTATCACTTGCACAGATAAAAAAATTAAAACTTTTTTCAGGTAAATTTCTTCCTAATTGAAATATTTCCCAATCAGTCAGATTACTAAGGCACAAATCACTAAGCGGATCTGGTCACTTAGATTTGATATACTTATAGACTGGTTTGAAATGAACAAAATAACAGACTTTTATAGAAATTTCACTAAATTCTTTGTGGTATATATGAATTAGCAAATGACAGTAAAAATGTCCATCAGAGCCTTAAAAACTCATACTTTGCCAGGTTTTGTAAGAAAAATCCAATTATAATGAATGAGGACGGATAATAGGAGTAGCCCTCAAAAAGATAGAATGAGATGGGATAAGGGTTCAAATCTGACGGAATTGGCATCCAATAGCGGGTCCACATAATTGCATCCCATCAAATTAAAAACGGCAATAAAGCCTTCAAACTTTTAAAGAAAATATTTGATTCTCATATTATTTAGGGGATGTTTAGATTGCTTGAAATACTTCATTGTGTAAGCAAACTATAAGTTTAGTTTACATAAATTTTGAAAGGGAATGAACTAAAAAAAGGGTTGATGTAAAGTAAATGAAACATTATTATAACTAAACAAACAAAGTAAAATTACCAGCATTTTTGTTTACTTTACACCCATTATGCATTATGCAGGAAACCAAAAACCCTTAACATTGCAAAGTAAAATTACTAGCATTTTCTTTGCTTTATTCCTTTTATGGAATAATTGTCCATCATAAACATTTTAACATTTATAATTTCATATATAATTAATTAATTATGTATTAACTTCTAATCTTTCAGCCAATCATTATTCACTTATTTTAATACTTATAATTAAATTAAGATAACTTTAATCTGCATAGTACAACTGCTACAGTATTGAAGTATTTGCTCACTCGTATATCCAAAAATATTTTAATAATTTCTTCCAACCAAACAACCCTTAAGAACTGCAAACATCTTATTTGCTTTACTACCTTTATGTCAATAATTTTATACTTTAATTTATGACTTTGTACAAAGTACAAACTTCTTAACTTATGATGAATTTTCATCTCTTATTTTACTACTTATGATATGATTAAGCTACCTTGAATTTGCATATTAAAATCACTACTTATTAAGGGTTTGTTTAGTTTGAAGTAAAGAGGTGTAAAGCATTCCGAATGCATGGGTTTTAAAAATATGGTGTATGGTTTGAAGCAAAAGGAATGCAATTTAAATTTTAATGATTTTCAAACTCACTCCATAGTTCATTTGTGATGCATTCAAAACTTGATTGATTTGGTCAATTTGTGAATACACCGCAAGTCAAATGCCTACCCACCACAAGTCATCACCGGCTGACTGCCCCTGCCCCCTATCAGCCGCCTATCCCCCCACCCTCCCCCTAATCGCTATCCACTGTTGTTAGGATTTACATTGCATTTATTTTACTTAAAATAAAATATAAGAAAATAATCTCCTGCATTTGTGTTACATCCAACTGAACAACTCTAATTTTTTTTTTTAAACATTTCAAATAAATTATATTCATTTTACTTGAAATTAATTTTTAAGCAAACTAAACGACCCCTAAAGCATTTTCTTGCTACATATCCCAACATATATTTTATTAATTATTTTAAGTGTCAATATATTTGCTTCCCTAGCCTACTAGAAGTACAAATCCTTGTAGGAACTTCTAACATTTAAGTTACTAAACTTCTTATGCTACCATCTCGATCACTTTCCCATCAATCTAAGGTCTTAGCAACGTCACAACTGGCATCAGTGTTTTAAAAAGCATTATTGGAGCTATGCATGAGGTAGTTAAGGGAGGTTTTCTATTAACGGGGAGTACACCCTGCATTTCGATCACTCTGCATTTCGAGGCATTGCCCTGAGCACCTCTGAAGATTTTCCCTTAGACATCCAATTAGCATAGCAATAACCTCATAATATAATAAAATTTAATTTAATGTGTATTTAAAAATATTTTTCTAATATTTTCAAATTAAAATTTGAATGAAAAAGATTGATTGATGTTTAATCTTTCAAGTCCTAAATGTCCTATCAAACTAATTCTTCTCTTACAACCTTAAGAAGCATTAAGTGCTAAACCTGACTCAGTATCATTTTCTTCACCTCCTCTCTATCTTTGGATCTCCAATCAATCTGATAATCAATGACTCATTTGTTGCTCTTCACTACTCTCGCCAACTTGATACTCATCTTTGCTAAAGCCGTACACTGACTCATCTCTCAGCTTGTTTTATTTTGAAGTCTCCTTTTGTTTGATTTAAATGTTTGATAAATTAAATTTCAGAGTTAAAATATGAATCAATGTTATGAATTTAAATTTAGGAATTTATTTCAATTTTTTTTTCTAATGTTTATTTTTTAATTATATTTTCTATTTATAAGAAAGAAAACAGCCTTAAGTTCATTTATTTCATTTTTTTCTAATTTAGGACCATAAAAAGTCAAAGCCCGCATTATTCCATATCTGATTATTTAAAAATGAAAACCTATCTCAAAACATTCAAACATAATTAGATGAAGGACAACCAAAAAAGGAAGAAACGACCATTTGGATACATACCAGAGGCGGAGAAAAGGATCTTCCCCCATGATCGATGGAGGAAGCAATTGGGTACAAGAAAGAAAGCCAAAAGCGGAGAGTAACGGTAAGTTGATCTCTCAAATGGTGACCTTCCAGCAGCTACCATGGCAGCCGCATCTGAGAACACAAGGTAGTCAACATCAGTGTAACGGACCTCCATGTGGGCATCCTGCCATTCCCCATATATCAACAAAAACAACCTAATGATAGCTGAGAACAAAAGCATCCGACTGAGATTCACCAGACCCATTTGAATTGAATGTTGAAGCCCTAGTTTTCCTCTCAACTAGGCTCTTCTCTCACTGGGAGCACGCACAGCTCCAAACTTTCTCCTCTATCGACTGTAAAATATCTGACGAGATCTGTTAACTGCACCAATAGGCGACTTCCTGCAATTTGGGGTCCTTTGGTTGCACGCCTTTAGAATCATTTAGAATGCACATACTTTAAGCCTGACGAGCAAAGTAAGCGCACCGTATCCAATTTACCTGGAGCTATTTGTTTGGATAAAGTAGATTCAGGGCAACGGTAACCCTTTTTTTCACTGGAGGTCAAGTTTAGAACTGTTACTCCACTTAATCACGTATCATTATAAATTTACAGGCCACGCCTTTGAAGATTTGTTGATGGTAGAGGACTCTCATGACATATAAATGGAACCACAACTTGCATTCCTTACAAACAAGGCTCTGAAACAAAATAAGCTAATCTGAAACAAAAACAAGAAAAAGGGAAAAATTCCTAAGTAAAGGAATTAATATAACTTATTAACTAAAACTGACTGAATGCTACATATCTTTGAAAGCTGCAAGAAAACACTCGTTAGCAAGAACCGAGGAAGCAGAGAAATGGAAAGGAAGCTCCCGTCATTCTATTTCCTTGTTTCCTATGAACAGTGTTATCTATATAAAGAGAAATAATAACGGAAAGTGTAAAGTAAAGCAGAGCCGTTTCTGCGGCTGCCAGAGAAAGGCCTGAGCTCCACTTCCTTGAGCAAGTGTGTTATATTACTGTCAGGACATGATAACAATCTTAAGCAAAACACAAATTCGAATGGAAAATGGCAGAAAATTTTCCTCAACAAATAGGGAGAAACAGCCAACATTAGGACAATACTAGTTAAACAAGTAGATCTTAACAGGGAAAAAAACTATATATTTGAACTAAAATACAGTGACATTCACAGAGTTAAAAGAAAGGGACTTAACCGAAAGCAAGTGGCGTCAAGAGCCGCGAAGAACGCCCGGAGCTTTCACAGAAGAGGCCGTTCGGCAGCAGTATGTAAGCAAGATTTAACTTAAAGGGCTGTTTGGTAGCGAAGTTGAGGCTGGATTTACGGTAAATCCTGCCAAACAGTTTTCGAGCTCCACTAAATCCGAATTCCTCTTAAAAACAGGATATTTACTAAATCCCGTCGTTCGGCGGATTAAACAGGATTTACGGATTCGCAAAGTTTCTTCCGCTGCAAGCGAGCGAGCTCCGTCTTGAAGAAGGAGGCGAAGATGTTTACCTACGCAGCGAGCGAGCTCCCGTCGTGACTTACGATCCGACGCCTTCGAACTGCTTTAGCGACTCTATCGCGAAGCACGAAGCCGAAGCAGCCACGAAGAAATAGCGAGGAGGAAAAGCGACGGCAACGAGGACGGAAAGAAGATGAAAAGCAAACCTGGACGGCCTCCTAAATTAGGAATTAATCTAAGTTAGTATTATTAATATAATATAAATATTAATAATTAATTAAAAATTAGTAGTATAATTATTATTAAATTAGTTTAATTAATATTATTTAAAACATAAATATTTAAGTATATATGTAATATTGTAAATAATAATTAATTAATACTTGAATATTTAATTGATCAATGAGATAATTAATAATTTAAATAATAATTAAAACTAATAAACAATACTTAAATATTTAATTAAAGCATTAATATGAGTATTATTTAAATAATTTGAAATTTCAAAAATTGTTTAACTAATTAATTAGGGTTTAGGAATATTATTAGATAATTAGAAATATATTAAGTAATTTGATAATTAACACCTAAATAACTAGTTTGATAATTAGTAATAATTAAGCTAATTTATAATTATTTTATTTATCATTATGATTTATTAAAGGTAATAAAATTTAAAGTTAATAAGTAACTCATAGTTAACAAGCACATTAAACTTATGTTCAATTTATAATTATCTTATTGATATATATAATTCAGCACAACTTATTCTAAACTTTTATTTTTGTTTATGTGTTATATGTATGTTTACATTTAAATCTTTAAGTGTCATATATAACAATTTTCAAGATTTAACACTCTTATAGAATTTATTAAATTCGAATTTAAAGAATTTACTAAATCTCACTAAAGTTAAATCATACTTTTTTTGCAAAACATCCCTTAAATATTGCCAAACAGCAAAACCAGAAAGTCCTACATAACTTTAAATAGGGTTGTCAAAATCAGGTCACGGGTCGGGTTCGGGTCCAACTTGAAATTGACCCGACACTGTTCAACCCGATCTGAACCCGACCCATTTTTGTAAACGGGTCGGTTTTCCGAACCCTAATCCGACCCGCTTCAAGTCCGGTTCCACCCGAACCCGACCTGCTTCGGGTATGTTTTACTTTTTTTATTTAATTCAATTTATTTAAATCTAAATCAAATTAAGGTAAGATTTACTTCAATCAATTTTAAAAAATCAAGCTTAATTTAATTTGGGCAACAATGTTTATTATTTTTTAGAAATATCATTTACCTATTTCATAAAAATCTTTTAAACCCCTCTTAAATTAATTAAAAATGGGTCGAACTGGGTTGATATCGTGTTTCCATGTCAATCAGACCCAGTTTTACAAATGGGTTGAAATCCCTAACCCAAACCTGACCCGGTTCGAGTTCGGGTCAACCCGAACCTGAAATTTTTTGGTCAGATTCGGGTCTGATTTTCGGCTCTTGTCAAATATTGACACCCCTAACTTTAAATCCCACTTCACCTATATTTTCACTTACATTCCTGGATTACCAAATCCGAGTAATCGTCGAATTTAACTTAAATTTGTAGAGAGAAGTCTCTTCCCCAACAAACTCCCATCAAGGACTTTTTTTCTCCTTCACACGTCGTTGGTTCAGTTGATGCCAGACCACAGCCAGTTCTCGTCACGTACTCCTCTTATTCTTCACACACTGCCAATCTTGTATATTCGTTTCCCCAAGGGGCTCCCGTCCCAAATTACTCCTCCTTCACATGCCAACAACATAGCCGTCACTTTCGTCATTGAGGTTTCGGGAACTACCGAACTAGGTACGACGATGGGGGCAGAAATAAGCTTCAAAAGTTATTTAATTTAATTATATTGATCTGTGGTTATAAAGGATTATTTGACTTTATATGACTCATACTTAACTTAATTTAAGAAACATCGCCATAGTTTATTTTCTTGAAAAAAAAAAAAAAGAAATTACTTTGATATGAACTTATCCAATGAGAAAAGTCGTGGGTTACTTGTTTAAATAAAAGTATTAATTTTAACTAAAATTTGATTCCAATATGGCTCGAAACATTTTCTAATTTTAGTTTGAACACTTCAAGCAAAAATGATTGTCTCCTAGTTCATGTGAGAGCTCATTGTAAAAATCTTCCGACAAGACTTGAGCCTTGTAAAGAAAGAGAGAAGTTCGCGACTATAGCTAATTGGGAAGAAGCCATCCATGGGATTGGCACCGTGTCAAGGACAGAGTAGTTTGTGATAGCAGCTTATTGGGGAAGGTGTAGATGAGACCAACAGTATGTGAAGGAGTACATGCTTTCATAATGTTTGTTCTCTAAGGGAAGAAGTGTATGGGATATGTGACTTGTAAAGGAAAGAGGGCTTTGCCATGGCATTTCTCAAGAGAAGGCGTTGGCAGGATCAGTGGTGTGTGAAGGAGAGAGGGATTTGTTATGGGAGGAAGTTGGGGGAAGGCGTCAAGGGGTTGCGGTATGAGAAGGAGAGAGAAGTTTATAATTGTAGCTCATCAATGAAAGCTATAGATTGGATATCACTGGGATGGGTGGCGACATCTCATGTGAACATGCGATTTGAAAAATGTGTGAATTTGGCTTAGGACCAAAGTTCAAACAAGGTTCAAATTTGAACTTATTTAAACAAATTTGAGATGCTTCAACTTCATGTCTACAAGTTTGAGAATGAGGCAGTTGTTTGTTTAAGTTGTATAATATATGACAATTAAGTTCATTATGTGTTTTATATTAACACGAATTTGACATTATGCAAAACATAGTTCTTTTTGTTTTTTAAATAATTAATTTCAAGCAGCCTCAATCAAAATGTGCCAAATCACTTATGATTTGGAACCAAATTGGATTGAGCAACTCCATTCAAGCTAATTTAAAATTAAAACAACTATTATTTTGTTAAATAATTTGAAGCTAGCTCAATCAAAATGATCTTGGTCACTTTTGATTTTGAGTTAGAATGGATCAAAAAAATCATTTGTTTGAAATTAAATAGAGTTGGATCTAGAGTAATTCAATGTTGATCTGAGTTGGCTCAATATTGATTCAAGCGAGCCAACATTCTATTTTGAGCCATGCTCCAAATGATTGAGCCAACTCCAGATCAACTCAAAATTGAACCATTCATAACCCTAGGTGGAGAATGTTGGATCAAAGTTTTGACCCATGAAAGTTATGTCTATAATGAAATTAAATTGATGAAAATTCTATTTATTAATTTTCTTTTGTATATATTTTTATTATTCAGACAAATATTATATTGTTATTGAAATTTATTTTCCTTGCATTAACTCCAAGTTCAACTAGAACTTTGCTAGGAAAATTTTTATGTGATTATTATGAGTGGGCCAATTGGAATTTGATGAATCTTGTGAAAGCTTGAGTGTAGATGTCAGATCGAGCAGGGTACTCTTGCCCCTGGATAAAGACTATGTAAAATTTTATCTAAGTTCTAAATGAGTAAAGGAGTGAACTTGTGATATTGTGTTTGGAGTAGTGGGATCCTTAGTTGTTAAAGGCTTGGCATAGAACTATAGAAGTACATCTATTTGGCATCGAACCACCAAAAAATATTTCTCTTAATTTATGATGTTATATTTACTTACACTTTATTGTCCAATTACTTATTTATTTCTCCAACTTAAATGTGAATGTCACAATCCTTATGCTTGTTACTCATATGATATTGTGTTAAGACAAAATTAATCAACATTAAGCTAATTAGTTTTGTGCCCTCACATCTAATATTATGTTTACATCATCATCTTATTTGTATTTTTGCTTGTGTAACTTTGTTGTTAATGATTTTAATTTATATGCCTTATCAAATTGGGTTAATCATTTGTATAATGCTTAACAATCTATACAACATGCTCATATGCTTTATTATATAGCATACACACTAGTTATTTTATGAGGTGTTACAATTGTAGGAAAAAGTTAATTGATTAAAAGTTTGTAACGTATTATCTTCTAGCATCACATCATCAATACTATGTTTATTTCTAAAATAATCTTAGTATTGATTTATTCATATTGTGTATACATTACATCACCTACATTTGTATATTTGTTTTTATTTATTTATTATATTATATAAATTTGTTGATATATTTTTGTGAGGATTGAATTGGTGGGTTATAGAAGAAGTTCACTCTGCCTCATTACACATCCAATTCACCACTCGGTGTGCCCTTACACCACAAGCCCATGAATGAAGGTGAGAACAAACATTCACATTGAAACTCTGATGGAGTAAAGACTTATTCCACTAAAACATGAACCAACAAGCTAGAGATCGAAAAACATCAATCCCGGTGGAACAAACGTCAATGGAAGGAATAGAAACCAAGAAGTTCAAGTTTACATGAATGGGCAATGGATCATATAAAGGGGTCATGCATTAGGAGGAAATAGGAGGCCGACATTGTATACGAATGACAAGTAGGCAATGGTGCAATACCCATCCATGAAGAATGTTGTGGGTCCAAGAGAGGCATGTGTTCTTATGTGTAATTAGGATAAAATTGATGTGGTGGTAATCAAGAGTGGAATGATTAGGGTTAAAATCAAGATTGAAGAGTGGATATGGTGGCATAATCAAATGTCAATAAGAGTCTGACTACTGTATCGTTATGGCCACCGGTTAGTAAAAAATGTTATGTTAAAGCCTACCTATAGATCCAACAGTCCAATAAACAACATGACAGTGAACCAAGCAATATCCACGACCTCTCATACCAATCTATATAAAAAAAAAAAAAAAGTGTAGCAAATCATAGTAAATGGTAAATTAGAGCTTCTTTTACTTTGTCTATGTTAATTTCAAAATATCATATATTTTATAAACAAATAAATATTATAGAAGTTAAAAATAAATGCATAATCTAAAAAAATTATTATTATTATTATATTTTTTATTTTAATATATCATATTCGATATTTATCTTATTTACAAATGATTTGTAAATTTGGTCAAATTAATTATGACAAGTGTTTGTTTCTTTTTTATTATTATTATTTTATTTACTTTTTCATCCGTGCAGCATCTTCGGAGAAAGTTGATGAAAAGTTTGTCAAAATAAATTTAGCAACCCCCCCCTAAAAATATTTTTTGGCTCTGCTACTTCTAGCAAGGCAACAACTTAT